TCTCTCTCTCTCTCTCTCTCTCTCCCTCCCTCCCTCCCTCTCTCTCTCTCTCCTGGCTTGTAATGCGTGCACTCAATCTGACACATACTCATGCCACGACATGCTAGAAGCCTAAATCAGTGGGGCTGCCTAGTCTTTGATTTGAACTTTCAGAGTCAGGGACCATCAGGGACAAAAATAAATCTATTTTTACTTACAAATAGCCTGTTTCTGGTATTTTGTTACCATGACACAAAATTGGCCAACATACTAGTTCTATCCAGTGTCTGCTAAATCAGCCTCTCTTGGGAGTGGGGCCAGATAATTTGTGTTTTGAAAGCAGTTCCCCGGACACTCCTTTGGCAATTAACCTAGCATCTATGAACTGGCATTGGGAGCTAATGAATTATATCTGCATTGAGCATGCTGTGGTTCGTGATGGTTATAGGTAGCAGAAATTTTATTTTTAAAATTAAATTTTAATGGTTCCACATTCATTTTAAATATGTGCATTAGACAAAGGCAGGATGTGAAACCTGTTTTTTATAGATATTGTTAAAGAAAGGATAAATGGGCACTTAATTTAAAATTAGTTGATTTAAAGAACATTAAATCATGAAGTTTACTGGTAAGGTTAACAGGTGAAGGCAGCAAATAAATGGGCAAAGTTCAGGATACTCTGAATGGCAAAATTCTGAGGTCTGTTTGACTCCATGATTCTTGGGTTCTGTGCTGCATGGAACTTTGAGTAAGGATATAACTCTGTATTTCAGTATGTTTGGTTTCTTCCTCTTCCCCTCCTCCTCCTCCTTCTCCTTTTTTCTTCTTCTCTTCCTCTTTTTCCTCCTCTCTTTCTTCTTCCTAGTCTTCTTCATCATCATCTTCTTTTTCTGTGGTACTAGGGATTCAACCCAGGGCCTTTCCATTGAGCTACATCCCTACATCTTTTCTGAAAATTTTTAAGTTTTGAGACAGGGTCTTGCTAAGTTGCTGAGTTACCCAGGCTGGGTTGGGAAATATGATACTTCTGCCTCAGCCTCCCAGAGTGGGGGGATTATAGATGTGCACCACAGGGCCTGGCTTCCTTCTAAAAAAAAAATGTTTCATTTTGGAGTTTGTTTATATAGTAGTTTTTAAATTGTGAGGAACAGCCAAACTTTTGTTTTCAAGTGAAATCTTCAGCTCTAGGCTCCCCAGGTTATTCTACTTCATTTCCTCCCAATCTAGTCCCTGAAACTCAATCTTGGACAGGTAAATTCCAGCTCTTGCTTGTCTTAGGCAAGGACTAGGGGAAGGCTAGAGAGCATTTGTACAGTTTTGTCACTCAAAGTACCTTCATAGCCATTCAGCTTTCTATGGTTTTAAGCCCAGATCTGCATTTTGGAAATTAAAATCAAATAAAGTTGGACTTGTGGAAAACAAGCACTGAGTTCTGGAAGTGTAGGGAAGGACTTGAAGTATTTTCCCTCTTTCTAGTAGTAACCCATCTCCTTTCCTCCCATTCTTACTCACACTAAATTTCTGCCTGCACTCTTATCACCTGTGATATTTCTCATCTTCCTTAATCGCAGTATGTTTTTTCTGCAAATGGACATTGTAATGGTGGCTGGCACATTGGGTTGCCATGTGAATTAAGTGAGATATGTTTACAATAAGCTTGGAACCTGGCGTATGGTGTTTGGTAAATGCTAGCTACTTATTATCATCTTCAAAGTCTTTTTGACATCAAGGTAAATGCATAATAGTTGAAATCCATTAAATATAAATTAGAACAGGTAAAATAGAATTGATTGTTTATTTCATGTATTGCCTTGAGTGTTCATTTTGGGAAGTATAAAAGATACATAGCACATTTAATAGCTCTAAAAGTATTCTTCCTTTCCTTAGTCTTGCTTCCCTACAAGGTATTCCATTTTCCTACCATGAATTCTTTGGCCATAGAGAGTTTTAAAGCAGTCAATCCTAGCACTTGGGGAAGGTTTCTGACAAAATTCATCACGTTTAGCAATCACAGAGTTCTCTCACTAGTTGCTCTCACTTGAGTATATTCCAATGAAGCAGGTAGGGGAGAGATTATCATTCCCATTTTACAGATGATTAAACTGAGTAAGTGTTGGAACTAGCTCCTTTGGATGCAAACTGAACTCACAACAGGCCAAATGCACTGAGCAAACAGAGAAAATTGAGGCAAATTCTTGCTTTGCCTTGATTCCCTGCATCTTTGAAGTGAAATTACTTTGTCATATTTTATTGCTATACACTTGGCTTTGTGAGTGCATCCGTGACCTGGATCTGTCCATGTGTTTGCATAGAGGGATGACCTTAATGTATCTGTGAAACCTACATCTGTACACTAACAGCCATCAGCAAATGCAAATGGAGCAAATGGAAAATGGATTTCAGGTACAGATCAAAAACTGTCCCAGCAAGAAAAATAACTTCAATGATGGGGATTTGGGCTGTCCACATACCTGCCGAAAGTCTCCTTGAATTAAAAGCAAAGTGCCTGACAATTTCATGACTTTCCCATCTGAAAATGTAATCTTCCATGAGGTAGGGGAAATGATCTAGGTCACTGATTTGCCCTGCTGGATTCTCACCAGCAAAAAGGCATCGGTTGACTGAATGGACATGACGGGGACCTTGGGAGAGGTGACAGAATGAGAAGGTAAAATCCAGGCACAGTAAGAGGACAGGAAGGTGGGTTTCTAACAACTGAGTGTCAAAGGTCAGTTTGAATTTGTACAGAGGAGCTTCAAGCACAGGGTGACAGTGGCTGGATATCTTCCCAAAGTGCAATTCTGTGTGTTCAATTTTCCCAGTGACAAAGATCATGGGGAGGTAACCAGAGAAACCCACGCAGGGAGCCAGGGAGCTCTGGGAGAAACTCCAGGGCAGAAGAGGTATCCAGAGATGGCAAGAAAGGACTCGGAACCTTGAGTGAAAAAGAAAGGGTGACAGGGATCAAAACAACTCTTATGGAGAGTAAAACTTCACAGAAGCCCAGGGCTAAATCATGTTAAGAGGAGGAGAGCAAACTTCTAAAAGTCATCCTTAGGAGAAGTAATAGATCTATGAAGGGAGAAACTAGTTTTATGACAAGGAGAGGGGATCTCAAGAAGGATAATTTAAGCCTGAAAAATGAGGCAGGGATGCTGCTGAGGTTGAGGAGACAAAGCTCAGAACAGAAGGAAGAAAGGAAGAAAGGCTCTCACTTCTCTCCGTGCTCTCACTGCTCATGGGCACCTCAGCTTGCAGGAGACTTAGGAATGAGATCCTTGAGCATGGCCAAAGAGCTTTGAAACAATTGGTAGAGGAAAAGTAAGAGTGTGAGAGAGGAGACCAATGTCATCCCCCATTTCAACAGAGGAGGAGCATGGCTTTCATGAGCTATGAGGTGATGAGTTTGTTGTTGATTCAGAAAGAGATTCTGGAGCAAATGAGTAAAGGGGTTTGTTTGTGCATTTCAGGTCAGTCTCAGGCTTCTTTTGACACCATCACAAACTGACAGGCATACAAATAAAACAGATTTGTCGCTAACATCTTGGAGATCAGCTGCACCCTTGAGAAAGTGTCCCTTAAATACCTTGAGGATGAGATGGATAATATGGACAAAAGGCAAATGGTTATCTTAAGTATCATGGTTAATAGAGATTGAGCATTTGCTCTATGTCAGATACTGTTAGGTCTTCGGTGGTTTTGAACTGTAAGTCACCAAATAGTCTGGTGTCCACTGGGAGAGAAGTCTCCAGTGCTGGGTCCTGCTCTCACGTCTGATCCTCTTCCAGCCAGCATCTTTACTCCTTCCTTGGAGGAGGACACAGGAATGACATAAAGCCTGGAGGGAAGGAGGACAAACACATTGGATAATAGAAACAAAGGGCTCGACAGGCAGGAATAGTGGCTGAATCTACTACGATAAAAACACTAGAAATAATTTTTTTAGCCAAAAATTTACTCCTGTGTAGATTGTGAGAGATATAGTGGAATAATTAATCAGATAAAGAGGTTTGCAATTTCAAAAGTGGTACAATTTGAGTCAAAAATGGGAAATCCTTTTGACAGAAATATTCATGAGATCTCAGGCAATATTGATAAAAGTATAGTCTGCAATATGGAGGTGATGTTCCTTGGCTTGGCTTGGCATGTTCTTTCTAACCCATAATATCATGTTTGGGGTTTAGTGATGTAAGTAAGGACAGGGTTACCACTTGCTCATGTCATTTCTTTTCTGATCTCAGTTCTTTAATGATTCCCCATTGCACTTAAAAGTCATGTCCAAATTCCTTCCCATGATACACATGCACTTCTTAATCTCCCCCATCACCTTCTCCATCTGTTTTATTTCCTTTTTTTTTTATTTTAAAGAGAAAAAAAGATGAAAGTAACAATGAAACCGAGTTTCAGAACAGGTTAGTAGGACAGTTACAATAGTTGAGACATCACATATTGTCTTCACAGTACTTATTCAGAGTAGATATGATATCTTGTCTATACAGTATTAGCACAAAACTTTCTTTTTAATGAACTAAGAGAAACTAGCTGTGTAACTATCTTAACTATTTTATGTATGCATGTATTTTTCCTTTTCCCTTTCTTCCTGTTCCCTTTCCCCCATCATAGTTGTTTCCTTATTTCATACTTCTTCCATTACTACCTTCTGTTGCTGATGGTCAAACAGGCCAGGTGTGTGACCTTTTCATTAGCATCTAGATATAAGTTCCCCAGAAAGCTCTTTGGCTTGACCTTTTACTTTAATTCAGGTCTTTGCTTAAAACTACATTCCCAGAAAGAGCTGCTCCAGACCACTTTATCTAAGGGCTGATGCATTCTTTCTCTTTAGGGTGAAAGTGTTTCATTTTTTATGGAAACAAACAGTATGACTTAACATCATTCTTATTTATGCATTTTTTATTTTCTGGTCCTTGTGTTGGAACACATAAGTGGGAGAGTGGGGGCTTCACTGATTTGCCATAGTCTAACACAGTGTCTAGTATTGTGAAGACTTATGATAAGTATCCCCCACAAAAAAACCCTGTCAAAACCTGATGAATGAACAATGAAAGGAATGATGAACATTCTGTGGAGTCAGTTTTCAGAGAACACATTTTGGCAAATGTTTGAGGTTGTTTGGAGATATGAAAAAGTAGGGAAAGAGCAAATATTTTGGAGGATATCCATAAATTTATACCAACTATTTATGACTATGGTTCCTGACCCCTTTCTTTGATATTTTTTGTATTTACACACTTAGCAATCCACTCTCATTTGGACCATAAAGGCAGGTTTTGCTCTAATCTTTGAGACTTTTCTGAGATGAAGATGCTTATACCCGTATCTCTTCCATCTTCCTGCAGACCTTCTGGGCTCTGGTCTTGGAAGGTCCATAGTTCCCCAGATCTGCCTCCCACTGTTATTGTCATTCTTTTGGATTCTGGAAGAGTGAAGTCTTAGTTGGTTGCCCTTTGTTTATTTGCCTCTGTATAGACCTTTGAATTTCATAGTACTGTACTAATAATTTTCTCAAATGGACATTTAAAAGCACAATTATTTTGTTTATGAATTAATTTTCCTGTGTGTGTGTGTGTGTGTGTGTGTGTGTGTGTGTGTGTACTCAGTCAACAGTATTTAGTACAAAGCTTGGACTGTAGCAAGAATTGAGGATGTATTTATTGACTTTGAGGATTGAAGGAGAGGCTTGGTTAAGATGATTCAAATATACAGAAATTTTCCAGAGACACTCATGGTTTTCATTTCATAGACACCATCCATCTATCTACCCATTCATTTAACAATTACTTACTGAATGCCCCAGTACGATCTGAAGTCCTGGATGTAGTGTGTCCTTGCAGTCTGTCCTCACACTTTTTTTTCCATATCAGCTTGGGAAGAGATGAGTAACTCTGGAAGAATCACATGTTTTACTCTTTGTTCCATTGGACATTGCTCAGAGGTGTAACATAGGGTTATAGAAAAGGTGTTACTCAGCTCAATAATGACTGTGTGTCTACTTTTCTAGCCCCTTGGCCTCTTTTATGATTTCAGTTTGGTGGATGAACACACTTACCCACCAATCACCAATGCTTAGCTCCTTGGCTTTCTTCCTGGGTGGGAGTTGGTGCTGCAGGTAGACTGATGAGCTCAAAACCCAGTTTGATCTTTTACTGTGTATGTTAAAAACTTTCCCTGTTTTCACTTCCTTTGACAGTAGCAAATGGGAAGAATTATCAGACTTTACTCAAAGGAAAAAAATTGTTGAAAAAAATTGAAGTGGATAACGTAAGGGAAGTACTGACAAAGGTGAGCGTAGAAGTCAAAATAGCTCTTGCCTTCCTGGAGCAATGTGCTACCACCTGGGGACTTATCAGCAACAGGTAGGACATGGCTTTCTGATAGGAAAAAATATAGATGGTCAATTTTTTCATGGCTCTAAATATAAAAATTCCCAATGAAGAATATTGAGATCTCTGTCTATAATCAAAACCCAGATGATCTGCTATTACTTTAAGGCACGTGTGCACGCACACAGGCATGCACATGTGTGTGCGTGTGTGTGTGTGCATGTATCTGTGTATAGAGGAGGATTTCTAGGGTCCTGTCTTAACCTCCTCATTTTCAAAGTCTTTGTCCAGTTAACCCAGAAGGTAGCTTATTTCTGCATAGCAGGGGCATGCTGGAAACACAGCCTTAAAGATTGTGTTTTATTTTTTATTTTTATTTTATTTTTTGTTTCTTTTCCAGTACTGGGAATTGAACTCACGACCTTGCACTTGCCAGGCAGGTGCTGTGCCACTGAGCTAAATCCCCAGCCCCCAAAGATTGTGTCTTAGTCACTCTCCTGTTACTGGGACAAAATACTGAACAGTCACAACTTAAAGGACAAGAAGTTTATTTTTGGCTCATGGTTTCAGTCCATGGTGGAAGGGCATGGCAGAAGAAAGCTGCTCCACCCATGGCAGCCAGGAAGCAGAGAAACAAGAAATGCCTTTCTAGGTCTCTCTCCCAGTGACCCACCTCCAACCAGCCACACCTCCTAACAGCACATTCAGCTACTGAACTCATCAATGCAGCACCCACCATTAAGTAAAGCACTACATGATCCAATCTCCTTCCAAACACATGAGACTTTTGGCCAACATTTTAGATCTAAGCCATAGCAGATTAGAAGGCATTCCTACGTACTCAGTCACGACCCCCCTTCTTCCTTTCTTCTTTCCTCTCCCTCATATGTCATTAATGATTAATGCATTACAACTTGATGGCAGGCACTAGACTCTCTGCCTTGGGCTCTTTTGTACATGTGTAACTCATAGGTCATTTAATGAGACACACACGCCACTACTGCCTTGTCCCGTGTGACTGAGAACATGGCCATCAGCCCTGCTCAGGGCCCACCCTGCCAGATTTGCAACTTCATTTTGAACCTTCTCCTGTGGGCCAGGGGAACTGTTACAGATTTTAAGTAGAGAGGCAATTTCAGAAGACTAAGTGAGAAGGAAATGGGGTGAAAACAGGAGCTATGAAAACAGATTAATCCCAGTTTCCAGTTCTGACTCTTCCTCCTTTGTGGCTGTTTATCCTTGGAGAAGTTACTTAACTTTACCAGTTCTGTTTCCTTATTTTTATAATGGGAGGTAATAATTTTCTGTGACATGACTCTTAACTGAACTCAACAAGAACATGAACGGATGATGACTGAAGTTCTAGGTGTGGAGGAGGTGTTCAATAATGATTTCATATCTCCTTCCCTTTGCAACTTTATTTTTTTAGGACATGATGTGAGCACTGGACCTCACTGTGGTTCTGATAAGAGTAAAGTGGCTCTATTGAAGGTAACCTTCCAGCTAGTTGGAGCCAATCCTGGATCCTTAAGTCTTTATTTATTTAGGGTTTGGTAGGAGCTGGGATGCATTTGGTCAGGACGTGGAATCCTGTTTTCGTGTAACATCTGAATAATCCTCTGGGGAGTTTGCTGCTAGGCCTGCAAGACAGGCCAGAAGAGCAGCTGAAGCATTAGGAGAAGCTGGATACTCTGAACCCAGCAATTCCGCTACCATAAATTCTAACCAAAGCCCTGTTCTTGGCTTGACCCTACCTGCCCATCTATAATTAAAGTCGTGTCTACAGTTATACAGATTAAAAGGAAAGAAGAAGAATGTCATCAAATCATAATTTCCAGAAGCAAAGCTCCCTTTTTCCTCATCTTTTTTTCCTCTCTCTATTTTAGATTTGGCAGCAGGATTCCTCAAAAGTAGGCCGTGGTGTCCTTTCCTACAGTTCATTACCAGTGGGCAAGGAGGGCCTACTCGGGTTGCCAAAGTCTCAACACTGATTCGCAGGCAGTGGGGAGAGAGCGTTTCCCGGATGCGCACCTCCAGCCAGGAGGCAAACGTTTGCCACGGGGGAATTTTTGTTTCTCCCTAAGCAAGAGGTTATACTAAAGAAGGACTCCTTTGCGAATGTTTACATATCCGACCCAATTTTATTTTTAATTTTACCGTGCATGTGTGCCGAGGCATTTTGGTGAAGGAAATGGTTACAGATGTCACACTGGAAGAATTCTTTTATTTGGGGGTCTTGGGATTTGAAGACTGCATTGGAACTGTCAGTCTCAGCCATTCTGTCGCAAAGTTCATGAAAGGAAAACATTTGAAAGCCAGAGGGGGAAAATGAAAAGTATCTGATCTAGGCTGTGACTCTGTTGTCAACGTCATTTTCATGGAAAGAACCATGGCCCTGACTTGGCAGTTTGTGAACACAGAATTGTTTCCTTGAGGGAAGACACCACAGTGAAGACAGAGGATGCCCAAACACTGGGCCAAAAAACCCAAAATTTGTCAGCCACAGCAGGGACTGCAGCATTGGGAGAATGCCTCCCTGGTGGATTGTGACTTCTTTTGTCCAGACGCTATGCTTTCTATGTAATCATCATATCATTTGGATGAAGGCTCAGACTTAAAAGTTATAGAGAAAATTGTCAGAAATTTGGGTGGTAAGTAGGTATTTCCTGAATTGTGAAAAGCTCATTTACTAAAATTGCACCTAGTTCAAAAAATGTATATAGTCTTTCTCTCCCATGTGCACTTTGATTGAGTGGTGCTGCCTCTCTGATCAAGACTGTTTAGGGTCATCTGCTTTGGAGATGGGTGAGGCCATGGTTGGCACTGAACTTGAGAAACTTCCCAAGGGCAAGCAACATGCTTCCTGACCCTGTGGCCTCCACACTTCCATCAGAAGATGACTTTCTGACTGGTGCTTCCTTCCATCTTCTCCTTCTCCTCCTCCCACCATCTCTTCCCTATCCCTTCTTCTACTCTTCTACCTCTTCTACCTCTTCCTCCTCTTTCTCTCTCTTTCTTGTACTAGAAGAGAAACTGTTTAAACACATGATTAACCCATATATATCTATATATCTCACCTTATTTAATCCTCAAATAACTCTCATAATTTTCAACCCATTTTTAGAAATCAGGGAACCATAACAGGACCGGTCAAGGTGATAGAGTCTCAGCTAGGGAACAGGGCCAAGGGCTTTCTGAAGCTGAAGTCCTATCAGCTGTCTTCTCCCCACCCCAAGGCTCCTCCTCCCTTGTTGCCCAGGCTGACAGCAATGGATCCTGGGATCCTGGGCTAATCATGAGAGCCTGGACTGCTAAGGAAAACTGTGTGAGTGGAGGCTTATTTTATTATTATTCTTAATTGGGAAAATTTTCCCTTCTTGCATTCTCTTTACCTCCATCTAAACAGTCCTGTGAAAGGTATAGCTTTGATCCAATTAGCCTTCTGGAGAGAGCTCCCAAGAAGAATATCCTTGAGTAGCCTCTGAGCATTTGACAATTTTCTGGTTGACATAGCTGAGTCATGTTGTGAACCAGAAGCATCAGAGCTCAGACTCCCCAATCCTAACTCATAGGGGAAAGCTGCGGAGGTGTCTGAGAGAGCTGACATTTGAGCTGATCTCTTCCAGGTCCTGCTGATGGGATAGAGAAGTTGCCCTTGCATAAGCTTGCTCAGTGTCAGGGTAAATTTTGGGCCATGGATGGGAAGGCTAAAGAGTGTATCTGCCAGGAAAAGAAGATCGATTGGCTGAGTTTAGTTCTATAGATGCCTCATGGCAAGAGTGTCCCTGGAGTGGTCCTACTCCAGGTTTTCAATTAGCCCATGGCCCTGTTCCTCTTGCCTGACAGCTTCATTTCCAGCTGCCTCAGATGGAGAAAAGTTAGTACATGATTTTCCTCTGAGAATGGAGAGAACACGTAGTTTCCTCCTTATTTCCAGCATTCTGGCTTATAAGTGGCGGCACCCTAGCAGCTGAGCCCTGTGGCATGGTACCAGTACATGCATCATATCTACTTACTCATTTAGTGGCATAACAGGGTTCTCATGTCTATTTACTCAGTTGGCAGGGAGAAAAGTTTCTTGCCTGAGATTAGGGTAAAATGGGAAGGGGTTGGAGACAAAGGGATAGGAAGCATGTTAAGTAACATCAAGTTGTCCTTGTCGGAGCTTTGTCACTTAAATGTTTTATTTTTTTTGTTTTAATTTTCAACCAGAAATCAATAGTTCTTCTGCTAGCACTCTAGCTCCAGGATGGTAGATTCTAGAGAAGAAAATCGTTTTAAAAAAATTTTTTAAAGGAATAAAAAATAATAAAAAAAATTAGAAATGATACATAATTTCACTAAACAAGATAAGAATTCAGCGGTGGTTGTTAAGTTGCTATTACTGTCTTCAAGTTAGTTGTTCATATTACCAGATACAGGCATGCAAAATTGGTCAAAAAATTAAAAAGAAAAAAATTAAGCATTAACTGTTCTTTTCAATAAACCAATAGAAATCAGCAGTACAATTGTCCCAGCTATTCTTGCATATACATATGTATTTTTCTCTGTCCTTTCTTTTATTTCTTTTCCTCCCTTCCCTCATCCCAGTTGTTCCTTCCCTTTGAGCAGTTTCTTTCCCTTCCACAATATCTATTGTACCTTTTAGATTTTATTTACTCTTTCAAATTCTTACACTAGGGAGGCAATATGATATTTACACATGTGGGTCTGATTTATTTCACCTATAAGTGTGATCTCTAGTTGCATCCATTTACTTATAAAAACCTTGAGTTTATCTTTTTATAGCTGAGTAATACTCCATTGTATAGGCATACCACATCTTTTCATCCATTCCTCAGTTGATGGGCATTTGGGTTGTTTCCAAGATTTAGCTATGACAAATTGTGCTGCTATAAACATAGGTGCACATATATGACTGTGGTATGACGTTTTCAATTTTTCTGGAAAAATACCCAGAAGGGGACTAGCTGGGTTAAGTGGGACCTCTAATCTTAGAGAAGAAAATCTTGAAATGCCAGGTTCCTCAGTCTACCTCAGTGATTCTCAATCTAAATGCCTTCTGGAATCATCTAGGCAGTTTGTTTTTTGTTTTTTGTTTTTTTTTCTGGTACCAGGAATCAAACTCACGACCTTGTGCTTGCCAGGCAGGTGCTGTGCCGCTGAGCTAAATACCCAGCCCCCAGTTTTAAAAATATTGGTGATGGGGCCTGATCCCTAGAGATTCTGACTTAATTGTCTGGGTTGTAGACTGCATCATGATGTTTAAAACTATACAGATAATTGTAGGGTTTGATTAAGTTTGAGAAGAGCTGGTCTGTATGAAACTTGATATTTGAATGCAGGCAGAAAGTTTGAGTGTGTTGGTCAGATATTTCCATCTGTAAACATCACAATAACCTCAAAGCTTGTCTTTGAGGATATTTGTGCTAGACAATGTGTGAGGTGTGTTGTCTCCATAACCTCATTGAATAATTAAGCAAGTGTATCTGAATCACCCAGAGGGTTGTTAACACACAACAGTCCAGTCTCCATATCTAAAATTTCTAATCCAGTAGGTGTGGTAGGTAGCCTTATCATGGTCCTCTCTCCTGATCATCCTCGTGCTTTTTATGTAATCCCCTCCCCTTGAGTCTGAACTGGTTTTATTGATGTGCTTTCAAAGATTACAGTAGAAGAGATGGAATGTTACTTCCAAAGTCAAATCATAAAAAAAGCTATGGCTTCTATCTTGAGTGTACTCTCTCTTGATTTCTACTTGCCCAGGGGAGAAGGCTACCATGTCATGGGACAGCACCATGGAGAGGCTCACATGGCAAGGAGCTGAGGTGAGGCCCACCACCGTGTGCATGATCTTGGAAGCAGATTCTGCCCAACATAAGTCTTCACAGGAGCTCACAGCCTTCTCAGACAACTTGACTGTGCCCTGACAGAGGCACAGAGCTCAGTGATGTCCATGTTTATGACATAGAAATCACAACATAACAAATGTTTTTTACTTGCTCAGATTAGGACAATTTGTTTGCAGCAATAGGTAATACAGTGTGTCTGGACTAGGGTTTGAGAGTCACTATGTTTGATAAGCTGATAAAATTGCCTCAAGAATCACATTTGGAAAACCAGAGCTCCACACCAGTACTAAGGTGTTATTATTGTATTCATTACACAGATGTAGAAACAGCTTTAGAAGTTTTACGTCACTTTGTCAAGGTCATTGCAAGAGAGATGGTTCTGGGATTCAAACTCAGGCACTCTAAGCCCAGAAGTCCATGCTTATAACTACTGTGCTATGCTGTCTCTTCTTCTCATTTTGAAACATGTGTACTGCTGTCTGTGTTGAATTATATCGATTACATTGTATGATGATGTTGGTCAGTGAAGAATTTTAATCTGAAGCTTTATTAGGGACCGTGATTAAAATGGCTTTCCTCTATAACATAAATGCTTCCCAAGTTAGGATTAATACTAGAGTGGGCCCAAGGCCAGTTTCCTTTGTGATACGGTGGTTTTTGAACTATGGCAGGGATCTGAAGTACTTGGAAGGCTTGTTAAAACACAGATTGATGAGACTCATCTTCAGAGTTTTGTTTTGTTTTGTTTTTGTTGTTTTTCTCCGGTACCAGGAACCGAACTCACGACCTTGCGCTTGCCAGGCAGGCGCTTTGCCGCTGAGCTAAATCCCCAGCCCTCATCTTCAGAGTTTTGGATGTAGAAAGTCTAAAGTAGAGCTTGATAATTTGCATTTCTTACACACTGTCAGTCAAGGCTGATGTTTTGGGTCCACTGACCATACTTAGAGAACCACTGTTTTTGTTGAAGGACCATCATGCTTACCCACTGTCTTTCACATGAGATCAGCCATGTGCAGGGTGGTATGGCTGTAGACCTCACTGTATTTCAGAAGTGATATTTTGGCTCAGTCTTCTGAGTTGATGACTGCAGAGAGAAGCACAGGCATAAGCAAGGCCCTGGTGGTTCCCTATATGCCCATTTCTACTCCCTGTGCCTTTCTGCTAGGCTAAGACATGTGGTTGGCAGAACCATGCAGCCGGGCTCTTTCTGCATGTCCCCAGCATTCCAGAGTGAACTCAGATTCCATTGCAATTATTGAGGGCAGTGTGTGGTCACAACCAGCCAGCAGTGCAGATTTGTGGGAGGTGTTGCTGTTTGGGTTCAGTCTTGAGAAACTGGTGTGGGAATGTTGACAAGCAACTGCTTAGGCATGTCTATCCGTATTATCTGTTGCTAGGAACAGAGGAAAGACAGGGTACAGCCTGGCCAGGTGGAGGTAATAAGTGGATACAGATTAAGCCAAAACCAGATTTTTTAAGAAAGCCAAGCCAAATTGTGGGAGAACTGTTTCACCTTCCGAGTGCCAAGAAACATTTTCCTTGCCAATAGGACTGGTGTTGTTGTTTCTCTACTTTTCTCTCTTTCTTTCTTTCTCAACCTCTGATTACCCTCTTTCACTTAACCTACAGCTCTGTGGAAAATTCAGTCCTGACCAGAGTGGGGGCCAAGATGTCGGCATGTGATGGCTGAACTTTGGATGCACTGGAGTTTGGACTTGAGACAAAGCCTATAGAAGACCCAAGAACTCTCCAATGAGGAGATCTTACCTTCTTATGTACTAGCAGTGAGTGTATACAGAGCCATAGCTGGTGAACTAACCTGGAGGAGTCAACAGGAAACTTGCCATTTGTAATGTTGCCAAACTTCCAGGAGATCAATAGTAGATCTTAAGGTCTGATTTGGAACTATTTGTCCCATATATATACCTGAACTTCTGTACTATGAAAGTGATCCTTGATCATGTGGATTGAAAGAAGTGATGTTATGGGAAATTCTGTTACTTGTTTACAATTTTTCATCATCTCTGCATCCTTGTCATCCTTCTCTAAAGAAAACATATTCTCTTTATCCCATTGACTTTGGAGCTATCATATGATTTGCTTTGGCCAATGACATGGTGCTGTGTCTAATAGAACCTGTTAGAGATATAAGTTCCTACCATCTTTCTTTTTCTGTCCCTGTACCATAAGATAAGAACATTCTGACTAGATAGAGATTGTATCTTTAGTTGGGTCCCATAATGAGCAGATCTGTGATTCTGTCACAGATTAGAGCAGAGCCTCAGACCCATAGTTGATTCACAGCTGATGTGTAGTGTGAATAACAAATAAACTCTTGTTTTTTAAGCTAAGACTTGGTGGTTATTTACTATACAGCAGGCTCTACAACAAGCTGACTAACCTAGAGGCAGAGCCAAATCCTTTGTCTAGATCTAACGTTAATTTCCTAAGGAGCAAGTGCTCCTTCTATTCATTCAGAGATGAATACCAGAGTGATCATTTGTCAATGTTACCTAAACATAAAAGCAAAAATTTTAAGAGAAAATATAGAAAAGCATGTGTAGGATCTACCTATAAAAAATGTTTCAGTAAATAAAACACAAAGTGTTGATATGCTAAGTCAAATGAAATAAGAGAACGAGATTTTATGTAACTAAGGGCACATAAGCAGAAAGACTCAGAGATGGTGAAAGTATTTCTCATGCATAAAATGACAGAGGCTTTTATATATAATGAAATCAGAATATCGAATGAATTTATGTAAATGGTTAAAAACACAAAGAAATAGGAAGAGGGTAAGATTACTGTCACAAGTTCATGAAAGAGGTAGCAAAAGTAGCTAAGGCCATGGACAGTATCTCTAGTAGTTAGAATATGAAGTAAACAACAACTGTTAGACTTGCAAAATTTAAAAAACCTGACATACGAAAGGTAGGTGAGAATGTTTGCACAACCAGCGTAAAGAATGGCTATGACCCAAGCTTGATCTTGCAGGGGTTTAGTGGCAAATGGAGAAAACAGGCATGTGACGAGATGATTGTAAAACTTTGTGATTGTTGTAGTGATGGGCATGTCAGGGTAAGCAGGAGCTGAGAAGGAAGGCTTCATAGGGGAAGTGACACGAGAGGAAATGACAGTTCCAGAAAGAGAGGGACCTGGGCAAAAACACGAGGGACTGGAAGAGAATGGATCAGATTAGGGAGAAATGATATGGAACTGAAAAATGAGCATTAGAATGATTGACACCAAATAATTCCAAACTGTGGAGAAGTGAGTCAGTGATATAGAGGACAGGCTAGGAAAATTTCTCCTAATATGGGAGCAAAAGACAAAGAGCTAAAAATGGTCAAAAGGAAAATCACGACTGGCAATAAACTCTGAAAATCATGTAACTGGTGTTGCTGAAAAAGAGATCAGAATGTAGGGCTGGGGGTTTAGCTCAGTGGCACAGCACCTGCCTGGCAAGCGCAAAGTCCTGAGTTCAATTCCCTGTACCAACAACAAAAAAAGTAACAATGTGCATAATACAAATGAGGGGCATTTCACAGTGCATACATACCTCAGAATGTCATGTTGTACATCATAGATATATACAACTTTTACTTTTCAGTTAAAAATTAATTTAAAAGGAAATAATGGAAGAGAATTTGAGGGAAGAAATATTAGAAAAATTCTATTTTGGAAATGTCAGAAGAAAAGTTAACCCTTTCCCCTAAATCAAAAAGAAAACAACTAAAACCTTGGCACATGTTGCTTTTTCAAAGAGAATCAAGGACTTTTTCTAATTAATAAATTTATTCTTACTTTTCTAATTACAAAACTAACATACATTTATCTTTGAAAATTGGAAAAGTGCACAGTAAGAGAAATATCACGGCACTGGTAACATTACTAACAAAAAGTAGTGCTACTAATATTTGTTGTGCTCTTTTAATGTTCCTCTATGCTATTTTTCCAGACAAAACAGAAATTATTGTGTCCATGTATAGGTGTGTACGTATACTGTGTATATGCACAGTAAATGATATGAATACATATATGTTAATGCATGTATATGTAATGCAAACGTGTGGATATAAGTACTTGTATGAATAGTTCCTTTTTAAAACTGAATTTCTGGTGCAGAATATAAAGAAGAATCAGTGGAACAGCATAGAAAGTGTGGGCATTGAAAGTCAACATTTTGAGTTATTATTCAGGTTTTATTGTGTTGCATTTATTATGATAATCTTCAAAATAGGCTTAATTTGCCATTTTCTTACTCAACCATTATATGGAGAATTTTTATGTATTTTGTATTCCCCTATGTTTTCTCCTGAAAGTTTTTACATTTTGCTTTTCATATTTAGGACACATTACCATGTGGCTGTTTTCTTGGTGCGTATGCTAGAAATGAATCCCTGGTTTTCCTCTGCTGTGGTCAGAGAGTAGGCTTTAAGAGACTTTTCCTCTTTGGAATGTCTTGAGGTTTTCATAAGGCCTAATTATGTAATCATATTTTTGTAAATGTCTAGGGCTCTGGAAAAGAAGGCCATTTTTAGGGTTTGTTTTTAAAGTATGTACAACATCTTCACTAACACTAGAATTGTCAGAATTTTCTCATACGTGCAAATCTGATAGTTGTAAAATAAACTTATTGTGATCTCACATTTCTCTAACTACTTGAGAAACCAAGCGCCTTTTCATGTGTTGTTTAGCCCTTTGTGCTTTCTCTTCCATAAATGCTTGATTATAGCCTTTGCCTTTTTCCTCTTAGTTTGTCCTTTTCTTTTTATTGATTTATAAGGATTCATTATGTTCTGGATTTCCCCCTCGTATATTATATGATTTTGAAATAACTTCTGAATGCCTGTAGCTTGTCTTTCATATGTGTATGTTTTTGTCTCTCAACACAAAAAAACCTTTTAATTTAGTAAATTTGTCAGTCTTTCATGTTTAATGCTTCGTGTCTTTTAAGAAAATCTTTTCTTCCTGTAGGACTATAATGATATTTTATTATACATTTTGTCTTGACATAGCAAACATTTTTGCCCTTTACAATTAGACTTCTAATTCATTTGGAATGTGTGCTTGCATATGGTGTAAGGTAAGGATTCTCTTTATTTTAAATTTGGATGGCCAAGTTTTGCAATATCATTAAATTCCTTTTGTCTCATTTTTTATCGTACCATTTCTTGGCATATTTTTCTTGGAGTAAATACTGAGTTCTGCAGGTCGATTTATCTTTTCCTCTAATGATGCCATAATGTTTTAGTTACTATGTCTTTGTAATAATTCCAGATAAATAGCAGGCAAGTCAGCCATCCTTATTCTTCAAAACTGTCTGGGATATTCTTGGTATCTTACTCTTCTACACAAAGTATAACACCAGCTTATCATTTGCTATAGAAAACACTGCTATTGTTTTTATTGGACATATTTATTAATATATGACTTAAGAAGTTATTGCTTTCTTTATACCATTGAAATATTTTATAGAATGGCATGATCTACCTTTGTATTAATCTTTTATAGTGTTCTCAAATACAGTTTTATAATTTTATTCATAACTCTTTTTTGAACTTCCTTTATTGCATTAAATATCTTATAATTTGTGTTGCTTTTAAGAATGCATTTTAATATTATTATAGTTTCCAATTTTTATAGGAATGATGTTGATTTTTAACATATGGAATTATATCCAATAATAATAACAATGATTTTAGTAGCTCTAATAATTTTATGTATTAACTTGTTTTTAATATTGTCTATGTGGCTTTCCAAACTTTTATAACTCTTCCTATCTGCCAGCACTGACTAGGACTTTATATGTAGTGCTGAGTTGGTACGATAATAGTTTTCCTTTGCTCTGACTTTCAAGAGAGTGCTGCAAAAATTTTCACCATTCCACACTATGATAGTGGGCTTTTTGGCCACATACGCTATATATGTTGTATTAAGACCATTCCCCTCTCTCAGCCCTGGTTTGCTAAGATCCTTTTTTTAAAATCTAGAAAGGTTATTAAATTTTATCAAAAATTTTTTGACAGTTTTTGAGATGTGTGTATGATTTTTCTCCTTTAATATGTTAAGGAGGTTAATTTCATTAGATCTTTCTAATGTTTAGTCATGCTAGTATTCTTGGCATAAGTCCAACTTGATCAGTTTGTATATACACACATACATTATTGCATTCAGTTTGCTAATGTTTTAATTAAAAGTCCACTGTATGATCTACCACTTATGTTTTCATAAACTGGAAGTTAATCTGGAGGACATTATGCTAAGTGAAATAAGCCCTGCACAGAAAGACAAATGCTGCACCATCTCACAACATGTGATTAAAAAAGACGGCATGTGTTGAAATTTTCAATCAATTACATTAAAAGGCACATTGCCTTTAGTTCCCCTCAAAATACTCTCCCTTGCTTTGAACACAACTATCTTGTCATTCCTGCCACTTTCTGAAGCAGTTCTGTAAGTCCTCTTTCTTGAGCATCTTATGTGACTGCCTATATGTCTTGAATGAATTCAAAACATTGAGCTTTCGTAGTCCTTTTTTTTTTTTTTTCCTTTTTTTTCTGGTACTAGGAACCGAACTCACGACCTTGCGCTTGCCAGGCAAGTGCTGTGCTGCTGAGCTAAATCCCCAGCCCCTTGTAGTCCTTTTGACTTTGGGGAATGCAAAGAAGTCACATGGTGCCAGATCCAGTGAACAAGCTAAGTGAGGAGACAGCATGTTTTTATGAGCCTGCCTTTCTGTTGGATGGTGTATTGCAGCAGCATTCACCGGATTTTTTATTACAACTTGTAAAGACAGTCATGAGGGAGGACTATCCGAACTTCTTCAGCAAGCAGGAGGAATAACAGATTAAGTGCATTTAAAATAAGGGGAAGTATTTTTAAGGGAGATTAATAACAGCGTGTCTTTTACTGTAATAAAGTCTTTTAATTTAAACATTCACTGTATTTTCACCCAGCTCTTGTACGTGTGGACTCTTCAAAGCTGAACTTAAAGAAGTAGAAAGCAGAATATGGTTCACAGGGGCAAGGTGTAGGGAGAGGGGAATTGGGGAGATTTTATTCAAAGAATATAAA